ATCTGTCTGCAAGAACTGATTTAAATTTGTAAAACCTTTAGGACTCTTTAAAGGTTTACAGATGAAAAAGCTACATTCATGTTTTCTCTTCCTCTATCCCCCTCTTTCTTGCTCTCTCATGAAATTCCTTTTATTGATTAACCTAAATGGTCTGCAATTCTTTAGTACAGGTGCTGAGAGGCAGGAAATATGGGACAATGGCTGTAAATCTACCTCAGTACAGCTTTCTATACCAATGACTCAAATAAATGCACTACAGTGAGTCAGTACAACCAAATGAAGACCCTGATTCAAAACCCATTTATATTCTCTTCATTCATAATGAAATACCATTATTTTGCGACAAAAGAAAATTAAAGTTCCTCCATTTTGTTATTAAGACAAAATGGTTTTCAGAAAATTGTACTTTTGTATATATTTCACATACCAAGCCACTCTGGCATAGAATATGGCATTTTCCAAATTTAGAGCTGTATGCCAATTCAGATTACAATGGTCTCCATTAGCGAAAAGGGAGAATGTAAAATAATGTACAGCTCTGCAGCACAAACTCACATATTGCAGTATTCATTATTGTCATGCATGATATACAGGATTGTAACAAAAATAATAAAAATAACAACATTGACGTCTGTGATAATGTATGCACAAAGAGTTCACTACACAATATCAGTCACCCAAGCTCTTTTATATCCAGCATTCAAATGGGATCATTCTTCCTTTAGCTTATTACAAAATATTACAAGCACAAAGCCATGTGTAAGAAATAATATAAGACATAATTAGGCACTGACACAATACAAACTGAAACTGATCTCTACTAGTTATTAAGCAAATGGACACAAACAATGCTGGCAACAGTTTAAATGATCCTTTAGTTAAAATCCGTACCAAGATCTTCCTGGATTTACAGGTTTGCCATCACTGCTGGTATAGCATGTAGGTTTAAAATCCTAGTTGGGGTTATTAATATTTTGTGCATTTAATAACAACAGATGGAATAATGAATATAACACTAAAAAGTAAAACAAGAGAAAAGAATGGAGTATATTTAAAGAAAGGTTAGTAATAATGTTAACTTTTAAGGCATTGTTTCAACATAATTTTATTTTCTTCAAATGTTCACGAAATTTACGGTTTATAATTTTGCATTTGGAAGGTAAAAGTTATTCTACAAATCAAGAAGTAAATTAATGTATGTTTAAAGATATTACCTATTTACTGGTGTTACATATGCCTAGTTTTATTTCTTGGAAGTCGTATATTAGGGCAGAATAGCATTAAAACTGGAAAAATAAATGGACTGACAACAGATGTTTGTGGCTGTTCTAGAAATAATACAATTATCATGATGGATAAAAATACTATTGTTAAAAATCAGATAACTGAACAAAATTCAATGAATAAAGAGATTTGAAAAACAGAAGGAATACACATGTGGAATTTCAGTCACATATATAAATGTGTTTAATGTCATAAAACAATAATCCTTGTGGCATGAATAATAGCAAACACCAAAAGAAGTATGTAACTCAAGTTGTACATGTGGGCTACCATCTAACACAAAGTACATTTCAAAATGGTTTACATAACAAAAAATAAAGATGAAGAAATACAATATTTCATCCTTCATTGTTCATGATATGTCCACAATTATCTTCCCGACTTCATGGACTAGCATGGTGTTTCATAACAAATGTATCTAACACATAGAGCTATTTTCAGCCATAAGATCATGTGGACCATACATAACTAGATGGGGTACACGTTACACTGTGTAGGCCATAAAGAAGAACCCAAATGTTGTAATAAATCTGAGAAACTATTAATCTGAAACCTTCTAATATCAGTGGAAAACTGGGCTGCAAGTTGACTGATATTCATGACATGGCATAAATTTGTGCCACTGAAGGCCACCCCAACATCATGATTTTCTAATTTCCTACAATTAGTAATAATAACATAGTGGAAGCGCTGACTTGAGACATGGAAGCAATACTGGCACCACTTAAATTAGGACGGTATTATTCCTTGACAACAGCTACTGTAATATTCAAGCAAACATTGCACTAGGAGAGCCAACACAGTTAAGGACTGAAAGCTAAGAGTGAATTTCTAAACATCAGGCTACAAAAATTGAAGAATAATGTCACTTTCTTAAACATACAGCTTGGAAAATGGCTTAACAAATTTCATGCTAAACTTTCAATACAATGGTGAAGTACAGGTCAAACAATAGCAGAAATTCTTCTATGAAGAAAGCATTCATCAATGACTAGTAATATAAATGGCAGATGACTATGTACCACATGCTGACACCAGACTTTTATGACATCCATTTCTCGGCATGAAGAATGTGGTAAATTAATAAGATTGGTGTTTATACTTTGTGCTGTCTATAATTAATTACTTAAAGAATTATGAAAAAAATCTTTGGAATAATAATATTGAGGGCAGGGAGAATCCTCCTTGTTGAACGCAAAAGAATGTAAAAATGTGGGGCAAGGAACGGCTAGAGTGGCTGCATACATAACTCATCCATCAAGACCCAAACCAGTGGCAGCATGTTATGAACATGGTAAGGAACCTTAAGTTCCATAAAATGGTAAGGAATTTCTTGACTGGCTGAGTGTCATTTCATATTTCTGAAGAAAGAGTTAATGGCATTACTTGTGTAAAGACTAACAAAAATGTTAACTTCAGACATTCACAACAGTTTATTTTACAGAAAGGAGACAAAACTGTATGTGTATGTAAAGAGAATTCCATCACTGAACTATTTCAAACAATCTCCAAACTTTGATTATATAGTTGTGAATTACATCTTTTGGGATTAAACAAATCCATCACTCAAATTATAATATAATAATGGTTAAATAATTAATGTCTAATATTTTGTGTGATGCCAATATGAGTGTTGGAGTCGAAGTGGGTGATATTGGACAGTTCAGAAATTCTTGAAGTCAGTTATTAAATACATATATATGACCAGTTATTGATAGAGATTGTTTTGGAAGTAGTGATCCAGGTGACATGGATTAACTACTGGAATTAATGACTAACTAAATGCCCTAAACAAACATTAAATAAAAAATAAATTTTAAGTAAACTTTTCACTACCATGTGGGGCAAAATTTTCTCAATGTGGGCAAAGGTTCTGAGAGTGGTCAATGCTCCTATACAAGACTCTTAAGCTGTTAGTACTTTCTTCTTTTATTTGGGCAATGGACAGCTCCTCCATAATGTCTTAACAATTCGTTTTTTTGAATCATCATAGAAGACCTGACGGTATGCTTCACAATGTCCAGCCTAATGGTTTTGCCCACATCAACCGGAGATGTTGGCAGTACACCTGGATTGGCTTGCACTTTATCAGGGAGCTGCTTGGGACAAGCAGCCTTAAGGAGGGAGCATCAGAAGCAACTGGAGAGTGATTACCATGAGAACTGAACTTGTGGGGAAGGAAGACAAGACCGATCAGATGTCACAACCATAGCACTCGGAAAAGAATAAATGTTGGTATGCCTCTATGCTATTTGGGATGAATAGCCTTAACAATGGAGCAGTGTAGCATGTAGACATTTGCTAGGCAAGAATCACTAATCAAACAACAAGACAACAGACATTGCTAGGCAGTGGTCTGAGTGAGTAGTGATCACATGGGACTCCCAACAGACACACATGCAACAATGGTACAGCAGGAGAGTAACTGTGTTCCGTGCAGTCCATGCTGAGACTGTTTTAATTCCATTACCAGGATACAACTAGTGAAGACTGAGAATCCTATTGTGTGTAAGAGTGAACCGTGGGCCATGCCATGGCTTAAACGGTTAGTCACTGGCTTCCCACCGCAATGGACAGGGTTCAATCCCACGTCTGGTCAAGTGGGATTTGTGGTGGACAAAGTGGTACAGGGGCAGGTTTTCTCTGAGTACTTTGGTTTCCCCTGCCCATCTTCATTCCACCAACTGCTCCACAGTCACCCTCACCTATCATCTGGGGCTGGTACAATAGGCCAGAAATGACCACAGTACAAGGGACTTAGTCCTACCCCACTAGCAATAAATAAATAAAAAAAAATGACCCATAAATTGTGTAAATCAGCGATAGCACTGCATTGCTTGTAAGTACAAGTTGATTGCATAAGGTGTTAATAAATCCAATCTTCCAATCCAGAACCCATTATCATTAGTCACGGAGTCAATCCTACATGTGATAATACCAACATATAACAATATATAGAAATCAATGGATTTTTAAAATAATACAGGGAGATCAAGAAGTCATACTAAGCAATTATATTTTGCTGGTTTAATGCACAAACTACAAGACATACAGCACTTACTATTAATGTTTATAACCTTAAATCTTAGAAATGCAAAATCAAATCATGTCTTTACAACATATGCTTGAAATGGTTTCCCTGTTCAGCAATGCATACAAGAGCTCTTTTTACAATATTTGAGGCCAGTTTGTGAAGCATCTGTAAACTGATGCTGTTATTCATTGTCATAATGTTCCTCTTGAGGTCATCCAGTGTATGCGGATTGTTTTTATAGACAATTCCTTTGAGGTACCCCAAAAGAAAAAACCTGCGGGTGACAAACTGGGCGAACGCAGGGGCAACAATCCTTTTGAAATGAGACAGTCACTGAAAAACTTGCGCAAGAACTGCATGGTTTCGTTAGATGTGAGACATATGGCGCCTTTTTGCTGCAACCAACACTCACGTTCATCAACTTGAAGAAGCGCAATAAACTGTAATGATGTCTTGGTACACTGGACTGTTCACTGTTGTTTCAAAGAAAATTGGGCCCACTGTTCGATGACGTGGTACAGCAAACGACACTCCAATTTTCTGACAGTGCAAGGACTTTTCATGAAACACATGTGGATTTTCAGATGACCAAATCCTATTGTTTTGACTGTTAACATATCCACTACGGTGAAACCACGCATTGTCAGTGAAGAAAACCCAATCGAACTCTTCAATTCCATGGTTGCCAACAAATATCTATTGTTCTTGGGAAAACGACATGTCTGTCATGCAATAAACAAAGCTATACTGCAGATGTCATATGACTGATACACGACAGATGGCGTTTCTACTCGTTGTTAGTACTCCTACATTACCATGAAGTGGTAGGAGATATAATTGTAGTAAGTGCAATACAATTTATAACAACGTTTAGTCTGATGTGTGCGACTTTTTGATCTCTCTGTATTAATATGAATACATATTAGGACAATTCAATAACAAGCACATATTTAAGAAACTGTGTGATGGAGATCCAAACATGGGTTGAAACATGTAGCAGATACTTTGAAAAGGTCAGTATAGTGATACTGAACTAGTATGTTCGAAGGTTTGTTGTGTTGACAGCCCCCCCCCCAAAAAAAAACAACACATTGTGAGAGACAACAGGATGCAGACAATAAAGACTGCAGTATCTGCCAACTCCAGCCCTGGGCTAATGGGACTGCTTTTCTTTGACCAAACTGTAAACAGCAAGTGCTATGTGAGCACAATGTGTAACAGTTTTGGGCTTTGGCTTAATGCAACTGGTCTGCTGTTAAATACATGGTGATTCATGCCAGACTGGAGCTACATCACACACAGCAAACACTGTCTTGGACTTCCTATATGACACATTCAGGTTAAGAGTGATTTCCCATCCATACCATGCTTGCCATGGACATGGACACAAGTGGCCACCCACCAGCCCAGACATAAACTTTTGTGACATCTTCCTTTGGGGTCACCTTATGAAAAAACTCTTTCCAAAAAGACCAGCCTCAATAATGCACCTCATGGCTTTGACTGTTCAAATGTATGGTGAAATTACACAAGATATGTGATGTTAAGTGATCATGAACATAGCCGTTCACGTTTCAGAAGCTGCACAACAGATCAGTGGTCATGGTGAGCATGTAATTCAAGCAGGATATTATTCATGAACTGTACTTTGTGTTCATAGACAGATATGCACCATAATATGAATATAAAGGTTTTATTCCAACTTTCAATCGGGTATAATTTTGTGTGCCATCTGTGCTCTTATAAGGCTTATAAGTGCAAAATAATTTTCAACTAAACAATTACACTCCAGTTTTCATAAGTCATAACTGAGTGTGGACTGGATCAATTCAAAGCGACTTATATTAATTACCCTAGCATAAACAAAATTTATAAGATGAAATGTTCAAATTGGAAAACAACCTCTCTTAGGTCTGGCATCAACCAGGCACACAGATTTTCAGACATTTCAGTCGTGAAGTTCTGGTATGGGCAACAAAATTGTTTACTTTCATTCAGACACATAACTTGAATTCATAGCAGTCTGAGGCCATAAATCCAGCAAAGTCAAGGAGAAGTAATAGGTATTGTTCATACTGCATTCAACATACTGAAAAATCCAGTATAACAAACAAAACAAAAAATTCTCCTTGAATTAAGCTAGCAATACACAGATAACAATATCTTAATCATATGCCATTACTTTTAAAAACAGTTCTCTCTTCACATCCTCTCAGGTATACGTGTGATAATTAAAACAAAATAACGTGTATTATCTTATAGGCATTCAACAGGACAAAGAAACAAAGAAAATAATTAACCATTAGCCTTAAAAGAACTTAAACACAACCAAGTCATCTGGACCCTCTATAGTAATTATACAATTCTCCACAACAAGATAAATAATATTCTCTAAACTTTTACAATAATCTGACAATAAATCTTAATTTATGCAAAACAAATAAAATGTAATGTCAGATAAATATAATTATAATTATTTTTTTAATTAAGAACAAAGACAATATATATACACTTCTTCTGATCTGATCTGATGCTTATAAATATTATGCCTAGATATTATTGAGCCAGCTCTTCAAAAAGGTACAACGAAATCAAAAAGCACTGCCTGAGCATTTAAAACGACCTTACATCTTGTAAAGACTTGCTGTATCTGTCACCACAGTGCTTCAAACTGCATGTTAACAAATCCAGGGGACTTGCGGCATTCCCAGTACTTGTTATTGTATGTCCATGTCTCTTCGCCACCCACAGTAATGCATTTGCTGAAACATGCATGACATATTATTAATTGAGGCAATTGAAAAATTTCCATATATTAGGGCAATATTTGAGATCAAAACAAATATTTCAAAATAAACCAATCCACTTGTTTATATTGGTTTTATTTAACAATGGCCACATGTTTCAGTCCAAATTTGGACCATCCTCAGGCAGTTTCATTAAATATGTCTAATGTTACTGAAATATCCTAATATGGTTCCATATTAGTGTTAATCATTATAATCATCATAATACATTTAATTATTTCTAAAAATTGTAAAGAGATCTTTAAATTCTTAAAAATTCTCTCATTGTTACAATGCAAAATTCTGTGTTATTTATCATGTATTATAAGTGGTGTTTATCTTCCAGGGTACATTGTTATGTTTTATATGTTTCTGTACCACTCACATACAATGCTATTATTAGTTCTTTTTTTTTTAGCTTTTTATATGTGTTCCTTCTTGGCTTCTTGAATGTGACATCATGACTGAGTTTTTTTTTTCTCTAGAGTGTGTTGTGTACTTCTCATATTGTGGATGTTTGTTTTTGTGTCATTCTGTTCCTGGTTTCAATGCAGACAATGTGTCTACACTGAAACACACATAAAAATATGTGAAACCCCTGAAGATGGATGCAGCATGTTCCTCTGAAATTCTGGTAAATAGATCACACATTGTTACATACCAGAAGACAGTAATCTTAATAGTTACCACTGTCAAAACCTAAAATCTCAAAGTAGTACATATTTAATATCCTATTTTACTTCCATGGGTAGCTTCATTTTACTGAAAAACATTTTACTTACTTGTACCATATGGCTGCGCCACAGCACAAATAGTTAGTCGCTGGCTTCCCACTGCAGCGGCCCGGGTTCAATCCCGGGTCTGGTCAATTGGGATTTGTGGTGGACAAAGTGGTGCTGGGGCGGTTTTTCTCCGAGTACTTCGGTTTCCCCTGCCAATATTCATTCCACCTAATTTTCCATCATCATAATCACACAGGGCAGGCTACAATAGGCCAATCAGTGGCTGCCCTGCCGAGTGGACCCAGTTGGACTCCACCCTCCCACTAAGCGAAAAAAAATTTACTTGTACCATAAGACTTACTTGTAGTTTTGTCTTTGGTTCTATGAAATAATGCTGCCACCTATGAGGCAATTTATGCTATATAAATGTAGTATTATTTGCACATATCTTTACATGACACTGTTCCTTCTGAACATACCTAAACCATCTTGGCTCATGCAGTATACCTTCCTGCTCCTTACGTTTACGTCGGTCCCGCTGCGCCTGCTCCAGCTGAAGCTTCAGAGTTTCTGCTGCTGGCAGATTACCTTCTTCTAGTAACCTATGTCATGTACAGAATACAGGAATGATAATATAAGACAAAAAGAAAATTATATTTTAATTTAGTTTTAACTACCAATTTCTGAGACAGTGCTATCAGAAAGTTCCCAGGCAATGTCAAAAAAGAAACTTACTCAATTTTGGCTGCCATCTCCTTCAAAATATTCCTCTTGGGAATGTATACAGTGATCCCATAATTTTTTCCACACTTCAGAAGCTCCAAGGAAGTCATTTTCCTTAACACTGTCAACTACCACTTGCGATTCCCTTTGGATGTCAGACACTGTTTCAAAACGTCATCCCTTCAGTTTCATTTTCAATTTAGTAAACAAAGCGAAATCACAGGGGGCTAAGTACAGTCAGTAGGAAGGATGGGGAACAATAACCATGTTGTGGTTAGTCACAAACTCTGTGGTTTTCAGGGATGTGTGGGCAGGTGCATCGTCATGATGGATGAGCCAGATGTGGTTGTGTCAAAGTTCTGGTCTCTTTTATCACACATTTTCTCTCAGGGATCTCAAAATGTCACAGTAAAAGTCAGAGTTGACTGTAGTGTTATGAGGAACAAATTCACAGTGAACAATCCCCTTCAAGTTGAAAAAACAATGAGCATGCTCTTTGTTGAACTCCAGACCTGATGCATCCTTTTTACTCTTGGTGATTGTGCATGCGATGACGGCTGCTTTGTTTCTGGATCATAATCATAAATCCAACTTTCATCACCTATTATGATCCTACAGATGAGTAAAAGTTGGGTTCTCATTACTTATCTCGTAGCTCATGACACATGTTTATGTGACGCTGCTCTGGATCATGTGTCAAGAGTTGGGGAATGCGCAATACAGCTCATGTTGAAATTTTCTGTTAAGAACTCCTGGCAAACTCCATAACTGATCCCACCATTGTCTGTGAGCTCATGGATTGTTTGGCGACAATCTTTGTAGATGAGTTCTCAAATTTTTTTCAACATTTTCTGTTGTTTCGCTGGTACTTGGTCACCCTGAACATTCATCATCTTCAGCTGACACTTGACTGGCCTTCAAATATAAATACAATTCAAGAACTGCTGTCTGATTTGAAGAATGTAAAGCCTCATGAAGCATTTCGAGGGTTTCTGTAGTGGATTTACTGAGCTTCATGCAAAACTTGATGTAGACACGTTGCTCGATTTTGCCATCCATAGCAGGCAAAATGAAACACAAAGTTAAAAAAAACACTCATGTTAAAACAATGAGTGTTCACAGCACGGTGTCATGTGGTAGACTGAAGCAATATGCAAGCGAAAGTGTGACCTTGGCCTCCCCTCTCATCTTCTTTCACTGAGGGACTTCAAGAACAGTCAGATAATTTTCCAATAACACTGTAAGGCCCGTTTAAGGTTAGCTTTGGGGAAGGGTCTTCTGTACCTTAAATTGAGAAATTTCTTAAATGGAGGTTATAAGAAATTTAAAAAGAAAATTATACTTTCGTGTTCGCAAGAAATATCTGCTCAAATCAAACAAAAGAATGCAGAAATATACAAGTACACTACAAAAGTCACTGAAAAATAAATAAAAACAGAGAAGGTCAACCTTATAACTTCTAATCATGGCAACTTCACAAAATGACTTACATATAACTAAACTGAACAAGTCTAGCCCTGAGGCCCTGGCTCAATGCTCACTCCTAGCCCTGGCTTTTTTCTCCTCCACAACTTTCCACTACTTGCCCTGGCCCATTCTCTGCTACCTGCTCGCCTGGCCTTGCTAGCCATCTCTGACCCTACCCTCTATTGATTTCCCATGTAACCCTGACTCCCTCCTTCCCTCCATTCTTATATAGCTCGCTGTTTTCAACTGGTGGCTCAGTCTTATCCACCTGCTCATGCTGGTTACTCACCAATGGATTTTTCAACCTTTAAGATGGAGGCAACATATTCCTCCGAAATGTTGGTTCACACATGATCTACATGGTGTCGCATCCCAGACGACAGCATTCTTCAGGTTGCAGTCTGCTCATACAATGTGCCGCGAGATATGTGACCTTTCTTTAAAAAACAGTTGTGTTTGTTGCATGGGCAGATCACTTAGCCACAAAGAGCTGAACTTAAAGGTTTTCCATCATCCATTCATTAGATTTATTAGTGTACCTGCATGGGAGAGTGGATACATTTTTGAAACACCTATGATTTGTAAACTTTCCAGTAAGAAGTGGTGCCAGCTTTCCTGGTCCCTTGGCATTGCAGCATAACAAACCCGTCAATCTTTCTCGGAATTTCTTCCCTCTTGTGGAGGCTTCCATATTATATTAAGACCCTTGTTCAGCATCAAAGAATAAAATACAGTGTCTTCATCTGTGTTGAAAATGTTTTTTAAATCATAGTTATTTAACAGTAAATGCAGTGATTCATTTTCTCCAATGGTCCACCGCAGTTATCCTCAAATTGGGGTCCGCAGACAATGGCAGTCCATGGTGGCCCACCAGACGGCACACAGGTGGTTTCAGAAGAAAAGCAATTAAATATTTTTTATCACATACATACGGCAAATTTAAAACATAAGATTAACTATGTCTTTCACTTAACTTGTATAATTTTTCTCCTATTTGCAGGAAAAGCTCTCAACAGCTAAGCCAAATGCATGGTTCACATGTGCACCAACAGCCCATACAGCGGCACATTAATGGGAACATCACCTGAATGCATCTGTTTGATTGATTACAGCAGAATCTTTTCCACTCAACTATAAGCAACCACCTTCATGTTTTTTCTTTTCTTGGACTGTGCCTCACACTTAAATTCTGCATGTTATTTTCTCTTTGGAAAACATAATTTCTGTTTAATGTAGGAGGAAGGAGGCCAATGCGGTTTGCCCTTTCAATTCATGGAAACTTCAGATGGGCTTCTATTTCACCAATCAAATTCAGTTTGCCACTTATTGTCATCTTCTTCCACTTGTTCTCCATCACTAATTCAATTTTACAAATTGCTGAATGAAGAACACAAGCACGGGCCCAACTGAGTAGGTCTATCTTGCCCCATCCAACTGAGGACGGAGACAGAGCCAGTCTCCGAAACAATGTGGTTTTTTGTCTTCTATACCAGACGATGGAGGGAGTCCAAAATATACCTTATAATTCTGTACAGCATACACCATTGTCAAAATCCTTTAAAGTCCACACAAATATGCACATGTCTAGGAAAGACAAGAGGACAGGGATCTAGCCATAAGGTGCCACAGTCAGCCAAAGGAATGGACCCAGGGTGGTGGTGGGCCCCTGCCTGCTGAGGGATGGTCCGCCGTGCTATTCCTGCACCCCACAAAGGCCACAATCAGGGACCAAGTAAGGACAATGTTGTACAAGGAACCCAGAAAGGATGGACGTTTAGGAAGAGACAGCAGGAAAAAGTGGAATGCAACAACGGCATAAGAAACTGAAACTTAAAGAAGCAACTACGTCTTAGGAGAGAGAGAACATCCAGCAGTATCTTGGGGAAAAGCATTGGGCTGGAGATCATGAAGTGAACAGTTGGATCTTCTGTCAGGAATAAAAAAATGAGAGCCTGGACATTGTGGGGGGGTCGGCCCCCTCCGAAATGAAAGAAGAGACCATTCATTTACAATGAAGTAAGAGCCAGAGACACAGGAGCACTGACGACTCTCAGAATTTTTGCCCTCAGCAATGGGGAAAGCAGGCTCATGGTGGTACAACTGGACTGATTGGTACTTTATCAGGAAGCTGCTGAGGATGAGCAACTTTAAGGAGGGAGCAATGGGAGCAGTTGGGGAGTAAACATCATGAAAACCAAGCCACAGGGAGGATGGTGAGACTGATCACACACGTCTTCTTTGACAAGCTTTGTAATGCATAACGCTATGGGAACACATTCCTGTCAGCATTTATGAATGATCCTCCAATTGCATGATCTGTAAGGAACAGTACAATTTTCTGGGTTGTAACATGAATTAATTTTGTAGACGTTCTGACATTACTTTCTTCTGAAATGTCAGTAGACCTCTACTGAACTACATAGCATTACTGCATAAATTTACTTCCTTAAAAGAATTCAACTGTGAAAAACAGCTGTCAAAATCATACCTCACTGCAAAAGTAATTACTTCTAACCTCAAGATAAAATGGTCTTATACCAACTGCAGATATAATACGCCGTTTGCTCTGCTCACAAGTTACTATATTTTCTAGCTTAAATTATTGGTCATGTAACTATACAAAATATACAAATATGACGCGAAGAAAATCCTCCATCACATTCAACAAATGACATTGAAGAACGTAAAAGATGTGATGTGGTGTGCTGTAACTGTTTCGCAAATTACTTGCTTCATAACTTCTGAACGCATTGCAAAACTTGTTTATGTACTGCACACAAGACACACTTGGAGATGGCAGAGGGTTAATTCTACTAGTTGTTATAAAATATGGCTAAATCTGTGTAGGATTTAAACAATAATCAGCATGAAGTTCTATTTAAGTAAATAATCCAAACTGCCGGAACGGAAACTCCTGTGGTGTTATGTGTCTGAATTACAGAAGCTTGTGGGCACATGCGCACATATACCCACCACTTAAAAGCATTCTGCAATATAATATCAGACAGACACCAAACGAGAAGTAATCTAATTCCACATTACACTGTTTTCCATAACACACCAAACAGAATTTACATTCACACTTAAACACACTTAATTTTTCCCTTACAATTGGATACCCCAAAAGAGAGCCACACATGGCCTAAACATTTGTGTGTAAATATAACTCAATTATAAAAAATGAGTTCTTTGTATAGAGGTTTGAAAGTCAAACAAGACAACATAAATTCATTTTCTAAAGTGGCATAAAAAGGACTGATTTATTTACACCCTGTTGTTCTGATATCTAGGTACAGAAGGCTGTGTATTTTAAATCACATACAAGATGGTACAGCAATCCCTTGAGCATGGAAAATGTCTATGATAGCATAACCTTAATAAATACTGTTATAAGCCACTACTTGAAATTAGTGAGTTTTGTGCAAACATTATATAAGACATACCCCACATATTTTATGCATACCTGTAAGTTTCAGTGAATATATTTTTCTATCAAGTGTATATTCAGTAAGGTATGTCCATGTGTTATGTGTCACATTAAGGCTATTGTGATACCATACTGAGATAAATGAAAATGAAATGAATTAAATTAAATAAATGAAAAACAACAGTATACAATCATTCACATACCTCTGATCTGGCCGGAATCTTGTGTCTGTTATTGGAAGATATTTGGCCATGTCTGGATCTATTTCATTAAGCTCCATTGCAAATCTGGTGAATCCATAATACATTTCATACTCTTCTGGCATTGTCCCTAAAAATATAAACCACAGTGATTTTTATACATTATTCAGATGAATGTTGTTCACAAGTTCTTAAACTCTTCCATGGAGCCTTCATTCCAGAATCTTACTCATAATGCGAAACGCTCATTAAGCGAAACACTTTATCCCATATAAATTAATGTAAAATACGATAATGCATTCCATGCCGAAAAAAATACTCAACAAATTTTATGTATAACGTTTATTCAAAGAAAATTATACACACATTGTTAAGGAGCGTGAATCATCTTCATCTTTTCTTCTATGCGGAATGAACCAACCTGGAATGCGAATTCGATTTGCAGAAAAAAAAATCGAAATAATTAGTTTATTATTTATGATACACATCTAATTCTTTGTTAGTAGAAAGCTGTCTAGAGACATTTGTTTTTGACGACGCTTCAAAATTTGGTGAAAATGCGACACAGCATTATCATTAAATAAATCTGTAGCGCGAATAGCCACTGCCTTATTAGGGTGATGCTTCTCAATGTATGATACAAAAGTTTCCCATGCTTTCAGCATTTCTCTTATTGTGCCAGAAGATTGTTGCTTTGCTGTTATCTCCTCCTCCTCCTCTGACAAATTCTCCTCCACAACTTCTTGCTGTGAAACACAATGCAACTCCAAATCGTGCAAATTGTTGATGAGACCGATTGTATGTGCGCGCTACATCAGCCACGCTCACACCTCGTTCTTGCTTTTCGATGATTTTACGTTTCATTTCT